AAATAATAATAAAAAACGATGAATGATGTAATAAGAAAACGATGACCGGCAATAACGTGGGACGCTTTCTTGAAGTGGGAACTTACGTTAAACTATTAGCGAATATCGGTTAAGGCCAACCAAGTAAGTGGCCCTACCATTGTTAGGTTATGAAATGTATGTTGTATGTTGACGCGTGCTCATGGTTTCGCATGTGTCATAAATTGTACGTTTAGACCATACGTAAATGTTATGCGATGTGAATGCTATGCTATCTTTGAATGAATTGATGATTTATAATGTTATGTATTATGATATGCTCGGAGTACATTATGTGATTGTTATGATACATACCATATTATATGCACGATATGAACTCTTATGTTTGGAAGCATGAAAATGTTACGTTATGTTTTGTGAATTACATGTATAATAATATGAATGACATAAAAAATGATAAATAGCATGAATATAACCCTAGTATACGCATGAATGATATAATAATTGATATGAGAAATGATATGATATGAATAAAATGATAGCGGGTTATATTTAATAATGATGAAAATGGAAAAATGTTGGGACCTCATGCATTAATGTGTGCTCTTGCATCAGGGGATACTCCTATTCCTTCATGATGATACAGATGCGTACACTACTAGGCAAAAGAATGACCATTGTGTTTTACATAATGTTGTCGTGATGGCTACTACTTCTAACGGGTGTCCGGCATAGAGAGCTTCTAGAGTATGCTCGCCCGACAAGTAAAGGGGCCCATGCGGTGTGCGAACTGACTGCTGGGTCCATACTCGCACATGTGGGCAATGTGTAGGAAATGAAATATACATCCAAGCTGCCCATTAGAATAGTACCGTGGGAAAAATTGACTGTTATGATAGGTCTCATGCATTGCATTTGCATGTTCTTGCATTATAACCCCGATAGCAGATCGCTTATTGAGTATTTTTAAATACTCAAGCCTCGTGCTACTATATTTTTCAGATAAAAGACAAGGGCGCCCCCATAGAGCTCACGGAGGCATTACAATCCTGAGACCATGACACATGCATATGATAGATTTGCATTTAGTAGTATATGTTAGTTTAGGTTGAGTTGTATTTTTCATTAAATAGTATAAGTTGGTTTTAAATTGAATTTTCATTTTCATTTGTAGTATAAGTTGGTACCAGTTGAATTGTACTTCCCTACTTTGTTTATTTTTTATTTATTTGTTATTTCCAATTTCGAAGACAATAAATGAAGCATGCTATTAATGTTGAAATTATGATAAGGCTTAATAAAGTTAGTTCCGCATTAAATGTTTAGGATTAAATGTATAGTAGCGACCTTATGTTAAGTAGAGAAATTTAGGGTCGTTACAGGACGCGTACGTTACAAGGCAAGGAAATTATCATTATGTTTATCATAATGTTGTCGTGACAGTCGCTATTCCTAACTGGTGTCGACATCAACAGCTACCAAATAATGTTCACCCGACGAAAAAGGAGCCTAGGAAGTGTGCGAACCAACTGGTGGGTCCATACTCGCATGTGTAGACCGTGTGTAGGGAAACTAAGTACACATCCAAATGGCCTATTAGGAAAGCTGCTAGGAGGAAAATAGATTGTCATGATAGGTCTCATTCATGAAATCGTATGTGTTTGCATTTAACCCCTATATTGGGTTAAGTGAATATTCAAAATAGGTGAAGTCTCGACACAAGTGAGAACGAATTCAAATGATGAAAGTAAGCAAATTTGGAGTTAGATATGACTTTGATTAAGGCCAACCAAGTAAGTAGTCTTATTATCGGTTCGATTAGAATTTTATGTTTGTATGATGACACTTGTCTCATCGTTCTACGCGTGTTATATGCATGATATGTGTGAAATGTTTATGAAATGATATGACTAGAATATGTTTTTGAAACGATATGACTATGATATGCTTATGAAATGATATGACTATGATATGTGTATGAAATGATATGACTGTGACATGTTTATGAAATAATAGGACGGTGATATGTTTACGAAAGTCTATTATATGTTCGTGATATAATGTGACAACGAGATGATGTGGAAATGTTATGACACGTGTTATGATGTGATGTACTGATGATATGATAAATGTTATGGTGTAACACGTTTGGTGATATAGTACATGATGTTACATGATAAGCTCATGATATGAGATATGTATGATATGACACGATGCATGATATGAATGATATGACAAGATGTTTCGATATGATGCACAATCCCGATTTATGTATGGAAAGCTATGATGAAAATGATATGATATGAAGGAAAATGGAAGGGATTGACTTACATGATATTCAATAAAAATGTTGGGACCTCATGCATCATTGTGTGTTCATGCATTGGGAGATACCCCTCTTTTATAAAGGTATGGACGTGTACACTATGAGACAACAAAACGATCATTATATTTATTATAATGTTGCGACGGTTGCTATCCCTAACGGGTATCCGGCATCAATAGCTCCAGAGAATGCTAGCCCGACCAAGAAAGGGGCTTAGGAGGTGTGTGAACCGACTGGTGGGTCTCCATACTCGCACGTGTGGACCGTGTGTAGAACAGTAAATACACATCCAACTACCCGTTGATAGCCGCCTAAGAAAATATAGGATATGATAAGTCTCACTCATGATTGTATATGTTTGCATCTAACCCAATAGTGGGGTCACTTACTGAGTATTTCTTAAAATACTTAAGTCACATGCTACTTCTATTTCAAGTAAAGGCAAGGCATCCCTGTACGGCTGATGACGGCATCACAATTCAAGACCATGACACATACATAAGATAGTTGTATTTATTTTCTTAGACTTAGGTTAGAATAGGATGTTTTTACTTTTAATGTTTATTTAATTCATTCAGTATTTTGTTGTGTCATTTTTAAAACGTTTTCGAACACATATGCCCATGACAGTGCTTTAAGATGAAGTTTATGTTTATGATGACATTTTAAATGTTAAATTCCGCATAAGAGTATAAGTTATGATGACAGTAGCGATTTTAGGTTGGTAGAAATCTAGGGTCGTTACACATTTGGAGCGCAGATACACAAATATCTCATCTACCGACATAATATGATTACGTACAAACAGTAGTAAAGTACATCAGTAAGGCATACAAGAATCAAGCCAGAAATTTCATCCACTAACATGTCCACAAACATGATGGGCACACGATGTTATAAAACTAACCACCTAAAATTAATTTTTACTAGCATGCATGCATCATCAAGCTAATGATATAAGTATTACTTCCTAATTCTGTGTGGTTACTTATAGGTTTGTCGCGTGCTTTCCTGAGTACGGTTACGGGCCGAAAAGGTCCCTAGAAATTCTGAAAACCTCTTGGAGGAAATTAATTTAAGTAAAAATAAAGTTAGTATTGAAATTGAGACGAAAAACAGGTAAGCGGAGGTCAAAACGACAAAAAGGAAACCCACTCACACGCGTTTACATGTTTTTTATGCACCAAAGAGGTCCTCATGCATAATTACCACTCGCCCGTGTCACATGCTAGGCAGAGTTGCTATCGCAAGTCGGTGCATGGGTCAAATGGAGCTAAACCCCAAAATATTCCGTCAAAGCAAGTTTATGAGTATCAATTTAAACTTAAAATAAAACCGAACTTACTGTCGGAACGCCTACAAGTTAGATTGGATAAGCTGATTGATGCATGAATGCACGTAATCTACGGCTTATCTACATATTATTTGAGGCTACGTTATTGTAATGTCTATTTATGATGCATGTACTCTTGATTGTTGACCATGTTAGCTATGTTGATATGATCATGTTTACGCCATGTGAAACACCATGATATACAATGTACGATGAGCATAAATGAAATACAATGAATATGTATGTACGTGTGATAGAAAATTTATATCATGATAGGTATGGAACTATTATGTGCATCATATCGCTGAACCATGTTTTTTAATACAAGATATCATGCATATAGTATGGTTCACACGAATTGATTATTTCTCCCGTATATTATGTATGGAAGCGTACACCACAATATTATACATGCTTCTTTCTTTTCCATTGGTTTTCGGTAGTGTGAGCATGAACAAGCCCATAATGAGGCCTATGGGAAACATATATAAGTCTGCCTAGTGTATTCATCTGTGCATTCGTGAATTGTGTGTAGAGAAGTATTATGAATCCAACTCAACCCGAGCAAGAAAGTAAGTCCCACTAGTCAAGAAACATATCGCATATGGGTCCATTTTTTAAACTCAATAATGAGGTCACTTACTTATTTTTAAATACTCATCTTATGTCTATTATTTTTTAAAATAAAGGTAAGGGCTTCATGTATCGATGATGAAGCCAACCTACGGAGACCATAGAATTGGTGAGCGAGATAGTCGTGATTCAATATTTGCAACAATGAACGGATGGGAGTATCAATGTACATGGTTGCAATGTGTTTAGGCATGTATTATGTCAAGTATATTGAGTATGAAGCAATGTTAATCATTAATTAAAGTCAAATAACAAATTGGACCATTTGTGCAATTAATTCTTCTTGCCACCAAGTATAACTTTGGTTCCAAATAAGGATGTTTGTTTGTATTAGTAACAAAAGGAAATGATAAGAATAACACTTATTAATATCACACGTATGGATGGTTTATTATAATATATTGTTTAAAGTTACATATATTATCGTAGTAGCAGACTAGAAAGAAGCTCGAGCAACAAAACTCTCACCATGAAAATGATGATTCAAATTGAAACCCATGAAGCTTTTGAGTCCAAACTAGTGACACGTTTATTTTTCGATAGTAGAATAGATAAAGACGTTAATGGAATACTAAGAAAAGGAGACAAAGTGGATAGTGAAGTTTTAGGAAGAGGTAAGGTGCATAAACGAAATACTAAACCATATGAGTTTAGATAAACCTAGTGGGTGGAACACGAGGAACATCAGGGACAGTAATCGGTGGAGTACCTGGGAGTGTAGGGACGGTGATGGGTGGAGTACCAGGAACTGAAGGGACGTTGATGGGCGGAGTACCTGGAAGTGTAGGGACAGTGATGGGTGGAGTACCAGGAATTGTTGGGACGTTGATGGGCGGAGTACCTGGGAGTGTAGGGACAGTGATGGGTGGAGTACCAGGAATTGTTGGGACGTTGATGGGCGGAGTATCTGGGAGTGTAGGGACAGTGATGGGTGGAGTACCAGGAATTGTTGGGACGTTGATGGGTGGAGTACCTGGGAGTGTAGGGACGGTGATGGGTGGAGTACCAGGAACTGAAGGGACGTTGATGGGCGGAGTACCTGGGAGTGTAGGGACAGTGATGGGTGGAGTACCGGGAATTGTTGGGATGTTGATGGGTGGAGTACCTGGGAGTGTAGGGACGGTGATGGGTGGAGTACCAGGAACTGAAGGGACGTTGATGGGCGGAGTACCTGGGAGTGTAGGGACAGTGATGGGTGGAGTACCAGGAATTGTTGGGACGTTGATGGGTGGAGTACCTGGGAGTGTAGGGACAGTGGTGGGTGGAGTACGGGGTATGGTGAGGGGTGGAAAACCGGGGATGATGATGGTGATATTTGGAAATGAAATTAGTGAAGATTGTTGGAGATGACGGGCTGCATGAGTCACATAAATATGTGAGGAAGATAAAGTGACAAACAAAACAGCGAGGAAAGTCTTAAAGGATGCCATCATACAACACATCTATCACTTTCCTTCACCTTTGCATTGATATGGAAAACAGATGTACGGAGGTATTTATACACAAAACCTTACGCCCTATTCACCACTATTTATCCTTCCTTGTTTTTCATTTTCAAAATTCCATATTATAATTTATTTTTAAAAATATATATATATATATATATATATTTTTTTTTTTTTTTTAATTTTCCCTTTTTTTTTCTTCATTAAAAAATTTCTTTTATAATTTTCTTGAAATATACCAAAAAAAAAAAACTTTTATTTCTTTTTTTATTTTAATTCCTAAGACTGTTATTAAATTATATATATATATATATATATATATTTTTTTTTTTTTTTTAATTTTCCCTTTTTTTTTCTTCATTAAAAAATTTCTTTTATAATTTTCTTGAAATATACCAAAAAAAAAAAACTTTTATTTCTTTTTTTATTTTAATTCCTAAGACTGTTATTAAATTATATATATATATATATATATATATTTTTTTTTTTTTTTTAATTTTCCCTTTTTTTTTCTTCATTAAAAAATTTCTTTTATAATTTTCTTGAAATATACCAAAAAAAAAAAACTTTTATTTCTTTTTTTATTTTAATTCCTAAGACTGTTATTAAATTATATATATATATATATATATATATTTTTTTTTTTTTTTTAATTTTCCCTTTTTTTTTCTTCATTAAAAAATTTCTTTTATAATTTTCTTGAAATATACCAAAAAAAAAAAACTTTTATTTCTTTTTTTATTTTAATTCCTAAGACTGTTATTAAATTATATATATATATATATATATATATTTTTTTTTTTTTTTTAATTTTCCCTTTTTTTTTCTTCATTAAAAAATTTCTTTTATAATTTTCTTGAAATATACCAAAAAAAAAAAACTTTTATTTCTTTTTTTATTTTAATTCCTAAGACTGTTATTAAATTATATATATATATATATATATATATTTTTTTTTTTTTTTTTTTTTTTTTTATGTAAAACATCTATTATACTAAAAAAACAAGAATGAGAAATAAAAAATTATAAAATATTTTAATTTTTTTTATGTAAATAGGAGAGAAAGGAAATAAATCGTCAAACATATTTTATGTGATGTCCCAGTTGGTTGGGGAGGAGAACAACCCACCATTTATAAGGGTGTGGAATTCTTCCCCTAATAGAAGCGTTTTAAAGCCTTGGGGGGAACCCCGAAAGGGAAAGTCCAAAGAGGATAATATCTGCTAGCGGTGGATCTGGGGCGTTACAAATAGTATCAGAGCCAGACACTTGACGATGTGTCAACCTTTTCACTGTTCCCCAAAGGGGGTAGACACGAGGCGATGTGCCAGTAAAGACGCTGGGCTCCAAAGAGGGGTGGATTTGGGGGCAGTCCCACATCGATTGGAGGAAGGAAAGAGTGCCAGCGAAGATGCTGGGCCCCGAAGGGGGTGGATTGTGATGTCCAACATTGGTTGAGGAGGAGAACAAACCACCATTTATAAGGGTGTGGAAACCTTTCCCTAGCAAACGTGTTTTTAAAGCCTTGAAGGGAAGCTCGAAAGGGACTTTCCCTTTCGAGCTTCCCCTCAAGGCTTTAAAACGCGTCTGTTAGGGAAAGCCCAAAGAGGACAATATCGGCTAGCGGTGGATCTGGGGCGTTACATTTTGTTCCTTTTTTTCCTTTAAAAAACTATATATATATATATATATATATATATAACATTACAAAATCAATTTTAGGATTAAATTTTTTTAATAAATGTATATGAGGATCTTTTTATTCTTTTAAATACATATTTTGGACCTTAAATTCTGAATTAAGTTTTATTTAAATATTTTAATTTTCAAATTTTATTAAAAATAAAAAATTTCCCGTAATTTTATAATCTTTAAGGTTATTTTTGTAAAAATAACTGTTGAAATTAAATTACCTTCCATATTTACTATACTAATTTAATTACTACATTTATGAGTTGACTTATGAAAGGTTGAAAAATAAGAATTTTGTTTTAAGAAGCAAATTTGTAACCCATTCAATTTTCTTTAAAAAGAAAAAAAAAATCTCATTAAATATTACCTTTTATTTTATTATATAGTTTTTATACATAGAATAGTGAATTTATTTTAACTATTTCACATATAATTAAATATAAAAACTATAGGGTTGTATTTCTACATAATTTTAGAAGCTTATTATAAATTTTTATTAATTTTTCATAATTTTAATCACCATAGTCTAGGCGTAATTAAATGTTTATCATCCCAACTCTATATGTTTAGTAAATTAATTAGTTGACATTGAAAAATTAAAGACTAAAAAATGCATTAAGAAGGCAATAGGAGTTAGAGATTCCTATCTATAATGTATGCATTGTTCATGTACGAGAAATACCTCTTTAAATGACCATATGATGTACGAGCCATTAGAAGTTCGAAAAATGAACTCTAGTAGCGATTAGGTCTCACGTATACTTATAGTTGGATGGATGATAGGTTGGGAGGGCATGTCTCGTCCATTAGTCTAATATACCCTATGGTACCTTCTGGTTGATTCTTTAAGTGCTAAGTTAGGGACACGAGTATTTTTTATTGTCGGGATGTGAGCTATTCCAGACTGCCAGGATGTCTAGTAAACGAGTCGTATTTGACTTATAGTGTGTCTTACATACAAGCTCAAAAGTCATAATAAGCATAAATAGAGAAAATAGGAAAAACTAGTCATAATACCTTGAGATTGGCATCGGTACCTAAAAACTCCCAAAGCTTCTTTGAGAACTGATAGCACTCGCCTTTAAAAAGACACCTACACGGGTAACAATGTGAGATGTAACACGAGCAGTGAACTTAAACCCTAAACTTTTAGCTAAACTAAATTTAATAATATGTCTAGGGTGTGATATGGGTATGTATAGGTTAAAGGCCAAGGCCAAACAAGTGACCTTATGTATGTCATTTGTATCGGATACTTCTCTGTTATGTTATGTTTGTACAGACGCGTACTGTAACAGCCCAGACCCACCGCTAGTAGGTATTGTCCTCTTTGAGCTTTCCTTTTCGAGCTTCCCTTCAAAGCTTTAAAACGCGTCTATTAGGGGAAGGTTTCCCCACCCTTATAAAGGGTGGTTTGTGCTCCTCTACAACCAATGTGGGACATCGTACCTTTGATATTTATGTTTGCTATAACATCATGTGGGTCTTTCCCTTCTGTGGTGTCCGGTGACACATCCGCGCGTTTAGCCTGACGAAGCCTGGTCTAGTGGGTACATATACGAGTTCGCTTGGTGATTTATGTGCACGTGTGTGGGGAAGTACTACCCACCCAACCCTGTCCGGATCGGAAAGAGCTCAAGGTCATGCGATATTGTTTTAAATGATAGGTCTCATCATGTATGTGTGTGCTTGCGCTACTCAACCCCAACAATGAGGTTACATACTAAGTATTTCTTAAAATACTCAAATCACGTGTTATCCTTATTTTTCAGGTAAAGGTAAAACGTTCTTTCATAGATGACGATGAACGTTGAAATGGTCATGAAAATTAAGATAAGACAGTGGCATGCTTTGTTTTTTATGGGGTCGTTTGAAATGTTTTTTTTTTTATCTTCCAGCATGTAGTGATGTATCTAAACTAGGTAAAAAAAATTAGGGGCGTTACAAAACCAGTTCAATTTGGTTTTCGAGTTTACTGAATAAAGGTTTGGGTCAACTTGAACCAGACCAATCTAATACATACATACGTACGTGTGTGTGTGTATATATATATAACACACGCACGTACGTAGGTATATATTATTGGACAAAATACAAAACCTAGGTCTCACCCACCTCCTCGGCACCAGATGATCCTTTCTCTAGCCATCCCATCCCTCCCAGACGCCCACGTCCACGCCCTCGCCCACACTACGCCCACATCGCTAGCCACACTCCTTGCCCTCTTAAAAAATTGAAAAAATAAATTGAACGACTTGACAACTCAACCCAACCCTTTTTAAGTTGTGTTGGTTTGTGAAACAATTTTAAGCTACCAACCCAATAACTCTGAACCTTGAACTCGTCCAAAAAAATCTTTAACGCAACTCGTATATACCCAGAAAAGATTTGAGCCCCTAATCTTTTAGTGTTATATAAATTTTTATCTTAAAATAGTTTCTTACACGAAAGTTATTAAAATAAAATTATTTTAAAATTTAGGGAAAAAAAAAGATAAATAAACATTTAAGGGCTAAACCTCTTAACCACAAGGATTTAACTGAGTATTAATTTTGGCTTAAAATTTCAAATTCAAAAGTATTGGTTAAATCTATCTCCAACCTTATTTATTCCACTTAAAAATTTATTTTGACTTTTGAAATGGGAAATTGCACAAATTTTCATCCTTAATTAATTTTACTTAGGCCAATTACACAACTTGAATCAACCCATAAATATTCGATGACTAAATAAATAAAATTCCCGATCTTTGTTTGATTGATTAATGTACTTCGGCGCATAATATTAGATTTTGAAACAACTAGATGGACACAGATGAGATATAGGGGATGTAAGGACATGAAAGGTCAGGTGTAAGGAATTGGATCAAACCGAGAACTCAAAACGACTCGTTTTCGTTCCTAATGAAAGGTAATCTGTTAATTTTGTGTTGATGGCCCGAAGAGTTAGTTCCCTAAAAAATAATTTAATCTTTTCAGGAAATTGTCACTCCCATATTGCCTTTGAAAGTAATGGTCGATCAACTCCTCTTCTTCGGCAATATACCAAAGCAAAAACTTGATAGTAAAATTACGATTTGTTTCCGAGTTCTAAACCCAAATGCCCCTAGATCAAGTAAAGTGAAAGGTTGCCAAAAGGTGGTGGATTTCTACCCATTTGCAATTCAACAATTTCCTCATCTTTGGAATGTCTTCTAGGCTTCAAATTCTAAACGTCTTTATAATTGATTGGAGAGGTTCATTTTCTCGCACGTAGGAGCTTTGCTCCTAACGAGTAGAGATATTTACAAGGCGAGACTCGGATAGTACGTCCCCACATCCTTGTCCCTATTCTCACCTCCTAAATGGACATCTAGGCAGAAAATATGAGGAAGCGATAACAAGTGGACAATTTCTTTCTATATTGTCCATTGAAAAATTAATGGATAATAATTATAAAAGAACCACTATTTCTAACAAAATTAAACATAGAACTTGGCACTAGATGGGGAGGCTTGATAGTTGATACCTAGATGCTGATACACCGATGTTCACGACCAAATACCAAGTAGAGATGTCCACAAGGCAGAGCAGAGACGAGAAGCATTTCTCGTCCCCATCCCTGCCGCATATTTCATTCTTTTATCCCTACGAAATTTGCTATTTATTTTTACGAGGATTGGAGCAAGGATTCCCACGGAAAATTTGGTGATCGAATTCCCTTCCGATTTATTAATTATTAAAAAATAGTTATTTTAAAATTCTCTTTTTCAATATAATTTTTATTAAAAAAATATTTTAAAAAATTCTTAATAAATCCATATAATATATAAATATTCTTCAAACATTATATCCTTTCAAATTTCAAAGGTCAATATTACTTTTTTTTTAAAAAAACTATGACATGACAAAATTAACTAATTTATTTTTTAATATAGCAAAAAAAAAAAAAAACATATATGTATTAAAATATATTTATATTAAACGAGAATGGAGAGGGGAATATAATCACGTCCTCAATTCCTCAATTCCTCAATTCCTCAATCCTATTTATCTAACGGAAAATAATATTTCCCACTCCCTCCCGGCCCCGCAAGTAAAATGGATATCTCTAGGTTTGCTGTTCGAAAGAAGGGTTCCGAATTTTGCCTCAATGATCCTCCTCCATAATGCCAATTTCCCTCTTAATTTAGAGGGTAATTACTCAAACATTCAAAGTTCAGTCAAACTAATCAAACTAATCAAACTAATACAGAGAATAGTGAGGAGAAAAACATACCCCAATTATCCAATGTATCTCTTGAAGCCTTTCATAATGCTTTATTGCCATTTCTTCCAACTCCCTCAAATAAACATCATATTACAAAGGCATCCAAGTAAGAATTAACAGTACTGATGCATCACTAGTTTGAATTGATAACCATGCAGACCCCCGAATACACACCGAGCGATTCTCGATATTTAAGATTACCAAAATCGAGATGGACAAAACACTTGAATTAGATTGTATAATATTATCAAAAAGAAAATATTTTCATCAAGTAAAAGAGAACAGCAAGAAGAGAGAGCTACCAATGTACATGCAATTATGCAGTGGAAATTGCTTTGTACCCTTCCTCTTCAAGCAGTTTCGCTATAGAGATGTCTCCAGTTTTCACAATTTTTCCATCCTCCTGAAAGATCCAAATGTAGGAAAACTACCAAATTACACACAGAAACCACATGGAAAATGGTATAGAAACAGGAAACAAGAAGAAACCCATAGTTTTGAGAACAATCTATAAGTATTATGAGTTTTGAGTTGTTTATAGCAAAGGTGAGACCGAAGCTTTCGATAGACATCAAAACCACGATCACTTTGTTATCCGATCAACAGTGTTGAGGATTATTGGGAGTGAGTCCCACGTTAGTTAATTTAGTGGAAGATCATGGGTTTATAAGTGAGGAATACTATCTCCATTGGTATAAGGCCTTTTGGAGAAGCCCAAAGCAAAGCCATGAGAGCTTATGCTCAAAGTGGACAATATCATACCATTGTAGAGAGTCGTGATTCCTAACAAACAGTGTATATGGAATCGGATATCTCTTTTGTTTTCTACTTCAAAATTGATTGTTTTATTCCCTTTCATCTATTCACCCCACAAAAACAGGAGAAAAAAAAACTAAACTAGCAAAACAGAACCAGAAACAGAAGAAAAACCGTCTAATATTTCTCCATCTTCTAAAACAGCCATATTGATTGAATGTTTTTCTTATGTCCAAGATACTTACCATTATATGTATGCAAGATGGTTCTATAAATTCCAGAAGTCGTAGATAATGAGTAATCATTAACACTGAATTCTTTGGTGTCAAAAGCCCATTCACTGCTTTTGCTACGTCACGAAGTGCATCAACATCCAATCCAGAATCTATTTCATCCAGTATTGCCATCTCTGCACCCAGGACCTGAAAAGACATTAACAATTTGAGAAACAATATTAATCTTGTATTGTATTAGCCTTACCAAGCCTATAGCATAAGTTCTTTCTTCCCCCCTTTTTGAACCAACATATACCATTGGCCCTTTCACCCTTAAGATTTAATCCTTATTCTACTAGGTTCTCAAATTTTCAACCATTTTATAATGCAGATAACTGGACCACTTGAAATGTATCATCTTCTCGACTGAATAGATAATGTTGTGGTGGAAAGTACAATGTATAAAAGTTGATTTTCAAGTGTAATGACGATATATGATATGTCAACTATTGAGACTTTTGAAAAGTAGTAGAGTTGATTTTTAAGCCAAAGTCTAAATCAATATTCCTCATAAACGTTTGAACACAAATGAAAATGGAATGAATTTAAGTGATTCGTCAAAATATATTTAAAGTAAGAAGTTAATGTTTATACTCCTCTTCTTTTTCTTATTAGGGTGGTATCCCTCATTGTTTTCCTCATAGAGGAAGAGTCGTTATTCCACTCCATGGGAGAAAGAATTTGAGAAGATAGCAAATAGATGCGGTAGGAACAAGCTTGAAATTTTACGTAAAAGGTTATTTCTATTACACAAAATTTTGGATATGTGGGTAAATTTCACAGCAATCGATTATAACTAATGAGTATTATATGACTGTGAGGTTAATCTCTCTCTCTCTCTCTCTACTACATTTGGTTGTCAATGTCACTCATGGACCATTAAATCCTAGATAGGTACCCACCATGGCTTGAAGCCATTTCCTGAAGCTCTTTACTATTTACATGACCCTTCTTGACCACTAGACCAACCCAGTTTGGTTACAAAGAGTTCTATTTTGCTCTCCTTATTACAAAGAACTCATCTCCTTTCCAACTCCAGTCCAATTCCAGTGTGTGGTGACTATGGTTCAATGACTTTTGAGCCTTCAGGCACATTTTCTTGCAACGTTCTTGCTTACTCGTGAGGCTCGTCTCACCCTTCTTGCTCCTCTTGCCTTGCCAACCTTTGGAAGGAAAATTTCTCAAAGAAGGTAACATCTCTCTCCTGGTTGATCACTGTGGGGAGAATTGACTTCCTGGACTTCGTCCAAAGATCATATGGTATGAATCTTCAACGATATGTGGTTTGTATAGGAAGGCCTTGGAAGAAGAGGCTAGGATTATATATTATGAAAGTGTCTTCTTCCATATAAAATGGGAATAGGTCACATTAAAGGTTAAGGATTAATTTAGCTTTATTCTGAAGTTATCAGATCAGAACGACACGAAGGTGCTAATCAATCCTCATAATATTGATCAGAATTTTTGCCCAGTAGCTTTCTTCACTACCACCTAAAACATTTCAAGAAAAATAGGAGCATTCAAGGGTGTGGAAGAGTCTTGGAAGGACGTTTGGGGTGAGGCTCACTTAAATGGCTCCTTCAGTGTCCTTCACATCTTTTTTGTAATTATCCATTATTTTCTATTTTGAATAATTGGAGTTGTTTGTCATATCATGGTAGGAACTTCTGTGTTGGTGCATTTTCTTGGAGGTCTTCTCCTTATTACTTTGGTTTAACTTGATCAAAATTGGTTTTTGAATCAAATAATAATATATAAGTAAATGCAATATGGTATGTAGATGTCAAAAAAAAAAAACATATGGTATGTCATTGGGTTTACGGAGACAACACTAATTCCTGTCAAAATAAAGAACAGCAATGCCCAAAAGAACTAGCATAGGAAAGCACGAAAAAGTAGCAACCTTACCGCAAGTTGTAAAATCTCATTACGCTTTCTTTCTCCACCACTAAACCCTTCATTGACATTTCGATTGAGAAAATCCGTCTTCATGTTCACAAGGTCAAGTTTGGGGAAGATGTATGCATAAAACTGGCGAGATAATAAAGTTTAAATTTTTAATAGTCTCTAAATTTCATTAACTAAATAATTACAAGAACAGGAATAAATGTGAAACAAGATAATCCAATAAAGAATGAAGCAAAATGAAAATTTCTTTATACTTGATTTCAACAAATCCGAATAGAAATTTTCAATTTGATCGAACAGAGCTCTTAGTCTTACCACATCACTCACGTTATATTGCTGGGTTCTTTTTTTTTTTTTTTTTTTT